TCCGCCGTGGGTGCCCACTGTGCTGGGCCCCCCCCAGCAGGCCTCGAAAGTGGCGACGGTTTCACAGATCGCAGCCCCCCAGGGATGGCGATGTCCCATTCGAGTGTGCGGTGGGTACCCAGTGTGCTGGGCCCCTCAGCGGCCCTCGAAAGTGGCGACAGTTTCACATATCGCAGCCCCCAGCATCCCTCGAAACGCAGCGACGAGCGAGGTATGAAAGTGGCGACAGTTTCGCAGGGCGAGGTCTAATTTGAATCCGCCGTGGGTGCCCACTGTGCTGGGCCCCCCAGCAGGCCTCGAAAGTGGCGACAGTTTCACAAATCGCAGCCCCCCAGGGATGGCGAGGTCCCATTTGAATCCGCCGTGGGTACCCACTGTGCTGGGCCCCCCAGCAGCCCTCGAAGGTGGCGACAGTTTCACAGATCGCAGCCCCCCAGGGATGGCGAGATCCCATTTGAATTCGCCGTGGGTGCCCACTGTGCTGGGCCCCCCAGCAGGCCTCGAAAGTGGCGACAGTTTCACAGATCGCAGCCCCCCAGGGATGGCGAGGTCCCATTTGAGTCTGCCGTGGGTGCCCACTGCGCTGGGCCCCCCAGCAGCCCTCGAAAGTGGCGACAATTTCACATATCTCAGGCGCCCAGGGATGGCGAGGTCTAATTTGAATCCGCCGTGGGTACCCACTGTGCTGGGCCCCTCAGCAGGCCTCGAAAGTGGCGACAGTTTTACAAATCGCAGCCCCACAGGGATGGCGAGGTCCCATTTGAATCCGCCGTGGGTACCCACTGTGCTGGGCCCCCCAGCAGGCCTCGAAAGTGGCGACGGTTTCACAGATCGCAGCCCCCCAGGGATGGCGAGGTCCCATTTGAATCCGCCGTGGGTGCCCACTGCGCTGGGCCCCGCAGCAGGCCCCGAAAGTGGCGACAGTTTCACAGATCGCAGCCCCGCAAAGATGGCGAGGTCCCATTTGAATCCGCCGTGGGTACCCACTGTGCTGGGCCCCCCAGCAGGCCTCGAAACTGGCGACAGTTTCACAAATCGCAGCCCCCCAGGGATGGCGAGGTCCCATGTGAATCCGCCGTGGGTACCCACTGTGCTGGGCCCCCCAGCAGGCCTCGAAAGAGGCGACAGTTTCACAGATCGCAGCCCCCCAGGGATGGCGAGGTAAAAGGCAGGGGGGAGGATAGGGACGGGAGGGGAGGAAGGTTCGCGCGAGCAGTGCTCTATTCAAAACGAGAACCCAACGCAGGAGGGTTGGGAACAAAATGATTCGTACTGCTATTAATAACAGTAATAGTCGTAATTTCTGACGGGTGTGCCGGAAGTGGCCGCGGGAGCGCACGTAAACCTTGACACTGGGGCCTTCGGTGGAGCTCCTAAGTGGGCCACGAACCGTGTGAGGGGTGTGCCGGAATCCGCAAGAATCCGGAGGTAATTTGGAGACCCCCGAAAAGCTCGGGGAACCCTCCAGAATCCAGAGGACTCTGAAGGATCCCAGATGACACCAGACGAACCCGAAGGAACGCAAAAGGAATCCAGAGGCATCTTGAAGAATGCAAAGGGGTCTCCAGCAACGAAAACGACACCCGGGAATGTGGGGCCGTGGGCCCCGAGCCCTGAGCCCTGCGCCTTGGGCCCTGGCCCCTGGACCCTCAGCCCTCAGCCCTGTGCCCGGTGCTCTGTGCCCTGCGCCCAGAGCCTTCAGCCCTAAAACTGACTACTACTACTACTACTACTACTACTACTACTACTACTGCTGCTTCTGCTGCTACTGCTACTACTACTACTACTACTACTGCTGCTAGTTTGGCGACTATGACTACTACTACTACGACGACGACGACTACTACGAATACTACTACTATAGGTACTGTGACTACTACTACTACCACTACTGCTGTCACTACCTCGACTACGACTGCGAGTGCGACTACTACTACTAATACTGCTACTACTACTACTACCAATATTATTACTACTACTACTACTAATATTATCACCACTACTACTACTACTACTACTTCTACTACTACTCCTGAAACTACTCAGGTCCACGACTACTACGCACGACGACGACGACGACGACGACTACTACTACTACTACTACTACAACCGCTACTAGTTCAAGTTCTACGACTACGACTACGACTACGACTACGACTACGACTACTACTACTACTACCACTACTTACTACTACTACTACTACTTCTACTACTATTAATACTACTACTACCACTACTACCACTACCACTACTGCTACTACTACTACTACTACTAAGACTACCATTACTACTACTACTATGGCTACTACTACTACTACCACTACTACTACGTATACTACTACTACTACTACTATGACTATTACTACTACTACTACTACTACTACTACTACTACTACTACTACTAATACTACTACTGCTATTAATTTTTCTACAACTACGGCTACGACTACGACTACGACTACGACTACCACTACGACTACGACTACTACTACTACTAGTACTAGTACTACTACGACTACTACTACTACTACTACTCCTACTACTACTACTACTACTACTACTCTAATACTACTTACTACTCCTACTACTACTACTACTACTACTACTACTACTACTACTTACTACCACACACTTACACCTCTACACTACTCTACTTTACTACTTACTACTACTACTACTACTACTAATACTATACTACTACGACTACTACTACGACTACGACTACGACTACGACTTACGACTACGATACGACTACGACTACGATAATATTCTACTACTACTACTACTACTACTACGACTACTACTACTACTACTAGTACGACTACGACTACGACTACGACTACGACTACGACTACTACTACGACTACGACGACTACTATTACTACTACTACTACTACGACTACTACTACTACTACTACTACTACTGCTACTACTACTACGACTACTACTACTGCATACTACATATTTCTATTTCTACTACTACAGCTACTACTACCACGATTACTACAACTACTACGACTACGACTGCGACTACGACGACGAACGCGACCCTAGTCATCGCCCCCTTCTGCCAGCCCCCAAAATTAGCCTGGCGAAGGACCCAACCATACGCAATTGTGGATACAGCAATTATGAATACCATCTTCGCCCGCGCTCCCTATGTGGCCACGGCTTCCCGCCGGAACCCGACATGCTCAGGGACACGTTTGTGGCCGTCTTCGCGGGCGCCGACGACCACGAGGACGGCGCCCCCCTGACCGAAGAGCAGAAACAGGAAAGGGTTCTGAGAGCCATGAGGGAGACTGCCATTGGCGCCTTCAGTGGAGCTCCCTATGGGGCCACGATCCTCGTGAGGGGTGCGCCGAAATGGCCCGAGGCCGCCATGCGAACCCTGCCACTGGGGCCTTCGGTGGAGCTCCCCACAGGGCCACGGTCCTCGTGAGGGGTGCGCCGACATGGCGCGAGGCCGCCATGCGAACCCTGCCACGGAGGCCTTCGGTGGAGCTCCCTATGGGGCCTCGATCCTAGTGGCTGGTGTGCCGAAATGGCCCGAGGCCGCCATGCGAACCCTGCCACTGGGGCCTTCGGTGGAGCTCCCTATGGGGGCCCCGATCCTCGTGAGGGGTGTGCCGAAATTCGGTGGTGGGGGGGCATGCGGACCCTGCCACTGGGGCCTCGGTGGAGCTCCCGTATGGGGGCCACGAAGCGTGTGAGGGGTGTGCCGAAATGGGTGGTGGGGTGGGGCCTGCGAACCCGCCACTGGGGCTTCGGTGGAAGTCCCTATGGGGCCACGAAACTGTGAAGGGATTGTGCCGGAAAATGGGTGGTGGGGAGGCATGCAGACCCTGCCACTGGGGCCTTCGGTGGAGCTCCCTATGGGGCCACGATTCTCGTGAGGGGTGTCCCGAAATGGCCCGAGGCCGCCATGCGAACCCTGCCACTGGGGGCCTTCGGTGGAGCTCCCTATGGGGCCACGATCCTCGTGAGGGGTGTGCCGAAATGGCCCGAGGCCGCCATGCGAACCCTGCCACTGGGGCCTTCGGGGGAGCTCCCTATGGGGCCACGAACGTGTGAGGGGTTGCGTAAATGGGTTTGGTGGGTTTTGGTGGGGAGGCATGCGGACCCTGCCACTGGGGTCTTCGGTGGAGCTCCCTATGGGGCCACGAAGCGTGTGAGGGGTGTGCCGAAAATGGGTGGTGGGGAGGCATGCGAACGCAGCCACTGGGGCCTTCGGTGGAGCTCCCTATGGGGCCACGAAACGTGTGAGGGGTGTGCCGAAATGGGTGTGCGGGGCGCATGCGGACGGCAGCACTGGGGCCTTCGGTGGAGCTCCCTGTGGGGCCACGAAACGTGTGAGGGTGTGCCGAAATGGGTGTGCGGGACGCATGCGGACGGCAGCCATGGGGCCTTCGGTGGAGCCCCCTATGGGGCCACGAAACGTGTGAGGGGTGTGCCGAAATGGGCTGGTGACGCATGACCGATGAAATTAGACTCGTGACGATGATAATTGATTAATGATGATGATGTTGATGATGATGTTGATGATGATGTGACCGACGGACGACGAACGACGACGACGACGACGACGACGACGACCGACGACGACGGCCACAGACGACGACCGGACGACGACGACGACGACGGACGACCGACGACGACGGACGATGATGATGATGTATGATGATGATGATGATGATGATGATGATGATGATGATGATGATGATGATGATGATGATGATGATGATGGTGATGATGATGATGATGATGACGATGGGAAGAGGGAGGAGGGGGAGGAGGAGGAGGAGGAGAGGAACGCGGGGCACCGTCTCTTCAAAACGAGGACCCAAAACCACAGGATGGTTGGGAAAAAGGGCAGCGTGTCCTTCACCCGCCCATGTGCCGCCCCCCCACATGACGCAGCGCCCGGGGAGCCCTAGCGCAGACCCCGCGGGGGGGAACCCGCCCCCCCTCCCCCCGCGTGCGGCGCACAGTCCCCGCGCCTCGCTCGGGGCGACCAGCATGATGCCGTCGCCGGGGAGCCGGCCCGCCCGCGTCCCGCAACTGCCGCCGTCGCCCTGCAACCAGGTGGCCCTCACGGGTGGGGGGGTGGGGGGGGGCACAGGAGGCTCGAGGCTCGCGAGGCTCGAGAGCGCTTCTTCTTTGCCCCTCCAGGGTGCAGGAGGTCGAGGTCTCGTGGGGCGACGGTGTCATTACGCATCCACTGCCCAGGCCTGGCCGCTGCTGGGCCCAGGAGCGGTTCACACGCCCTCCTGCCTTGGCCACGGATGCGCACGCACACAGACACACACACAAACACACACATTTGCACACACGCACAGACACAAACACAAGCGCACACACAGGCACACGCACAGGCAGGCAGGCACACAGGCACACACACAGACAGGCACACACACAGGCTCACACACAAACAAATGCACACACAAGCACAGACAGGCACACACAGACACACACACAGGCACACGCACAGGCACACGCACAGACACACAGAGACACACACAGACAGGCACACACACAGACAGGACCACACACAGACACACACACACAGACACACACACAAAAACACACAGGCACACACAGACACACACGCAGGCATACACACACAGACACACACACAAACACATACACACACACACGCACACACAGACACACACACAAAGGCACACACACAGACACATACACACACCCACACGCACACGCACACCCACACACACACACCCACACCCACGCCAGGCCTGAGGCAACGGATGGGCGTAGGTCTCGTCGCCCTGTCTCGGTGGTTGCTTGGTGAGCTTCCGGACCTCCTCGCCGGCACGGCTGCCGACGAGAAGGGTCCGAGGCTCGAAGCTCGAGGGTCGACGGCATGCTCTCCACACTCGCCTGCTCCTCCGCGACGCTCCCGGGTCCACACGCGCCCCGGCTCTTGAGGGGGGGGGAGGACCCGACCGCCGCCGAAGGACTGAATGTCTTCGGCCCCGGCACCTCTCCTCGAATCTCTGCCTCTGGGGGGTCGGGCTCGGGCCCCCCGGGACATCACACCTCTCGGGCCGGGCGAAAGGGGGGGATAGCAAAGGGGGGGTTTGAGAATCAGCCCACGTAGCTGATTTTCCTGGCGCCTCCCGGCGCCGGAGGCGGCCATGCATCGAGGAATGTGCCCCTCGGTGAGGCCGAAACCAGCTGCATGCAGCAGATTTCGTCACCCCCCCTTTCCCAATCCCCCCCTTTCGCCCGGCCCGAACCTCTGCCCGGGACCAGACGCTGCCGCCAGGGAGGGGCGCTGGGCTGGGGCCCGCCGGGGGGGAAAAAAAAAAACAGGACCGTGCATCGGGAGTCCGGGGTCGAGGGCGAGGCGGGAGGGAGGGGAAGGAGGGGGAGGAGGAAACAGGGGGGGGGGAAGAGGAGAAGGGGGAGGGGAAGCGAGGGGGAAGAGGAAAAGGGGCGGGGGGTACGAGCAGCCTGCGACAGTCTTGCCTGCATCCAGGATCAAGAATTGGGCTCTCGGAGGTTTGGGGAACGCCTGGCGGTTTTTGGAATCCCGAAACGGTGCGGTGACAGACCGTGCGGTGGCCTGGGAACCCCAAGAGACCTCACCGCACGGTCCGTCACCGCACGGTCATGGGACCCTAGAGGCCCCTGTCGCCCGAGACATCCTCGGAGAAGGACTCGAGTCCCAAAGCCGTGCGGTGACCCCGAATCCACACCGACTCACCGCACGGTGTGGTCACCACACCGTCTGGGGCCCCCCAAGGTTCTCGTCCAGGATGGGCCTTGGGAGGGCTCTGGGGGCTCGAGGGGGGTGGCAAACAAGGTGCGCGACTCGAGGATCGAGGACATCGAGAATTGTAAGTTCTGACGCATCTGCTTGGACGTCCCTGGCCCTCTTGGGGCCTCCAAGGAGCCTCTGGAGGCCCCTGAGGGGGGCAGGTGGGCTCCGCCTCCCAAGCGAGTTCCAAGCAGCTGTGGTCGAAGGATCGCGCCGCATCGACGATACATTGACGATGCATCGGCCACGTCGGAGTGCAACACAACTCGGGCTCTACATCCAGCCGCATCGCCGACGCATCGGCGGTGCGGAGTGATGCTTCGACCCAGTCTACAATTCTTGGACCGCGTTTGGGTGGCCTTCATTAGCATGGGGGAAACGGTTCCTGAGAGAATTACTCCGACGGAAGGACCCCGCATGAGAATCCTCTGGGCGAATCTGGAAAAAGCCCTCACCGTCGTCCTCGTGGTTGGTGAGGCGTCCTGGCTGTCTCTTCTGCGTATATTTCCCCACATCCAAAGTGGGGTTCTTGTTCCCCACATCCAAAGTGGGGTTCTTGTTTTCTCTGGACACCCCGCGCAGGAACAGGAACCCACCATCACCATCATCATCATCATCATCATCATCATCATCATCATCATCATCATCATCATCATCATCATCATCATCATCATCATCATCATCATTCATTCATTCATTCATTCATTCATTCATTCATTCATTCCTATCATTCCTCACTGACTCACTCACTGACTCACTCACTGACTCACTCACTCACTCACTCACTCACTCATCATCCCTCACTCACTCACTCACTCACTCACTCACTCACTCACTCACTCACTGACTCATCAGCACTCACATATGATGATGATGAGTGTGCGCGTGAGAGAGTGTGATGATGATCATCACCATCACCAGTCAGTCAGTCAGTCAGTCAGTCAGTGAGTCAGTCACTCACTCACTCACTCGCCTTGGGCCTCGTCTGTGAGTGAATTATGAGGAAGTCTCAAGCGGGAGCCCCCTCCCTATGGGGCCCGCGGATCATGTTACTTTTCCGAGCGGGTCATCCAATTCCTGTAACTGTCGCCACTTTTGGGCTCTCGCGCTGCCAGAACGCCATTCCCAGGCCACGTCTGTGAGTAAATTATGAGGCAGTCTCAGGCGGGAACCCCCTCCTTATGGGGCCCGCGGATTATGTTACTAATCCGAGCGGGTCATCCAATTCCTGTAATTGTCGCCATTTTTGGGCTCTCGCGCTGCCAGAACGCCATTCCCAGGCCACATTTGTGAGTGAATTGCGAGGAAGTCTCAAGCGGGACCTCCCTACAAAGAACGATGATTTGAGGCCCCCCCTGCTTCAATCCGTCAGAGATGTGGACCGTGTCGGCAGATGCTCGAGGCACTCAGTGCTCCCTCCCTCCCTGGCCTTCGCTGGGGGAGGAGGAGGGCGGCAAGATGGCTCCAAGGCTACAACAGGCCTCGGGGTGCAGGGACTCCCTCTCTCCTGCTACCCCCCACGCTTCCGTCTACAACCGTACGACAGACCTAAGCTTGGAGGGACTCCCTCGCTCCGGTTCCCCGCCCAGAGGAGGAGGAGGAGGGGGAGGGGGAGGGGGAGGGAGGAGTATGAGGAAAAAGGTTGGAGGAGGAGGAGGAGGAGGAGGAGGAGGAGGAGGAGGAAGGAGGAGGAGGTGGAGGAGGAGGAGGTGGAGGAGGAGGAGGGGAGGAGGAGGAGGAGGGAGGAGGAGGAGGAGGAGGAGGAGGAGAGAGGAGGAGGGGAGGAGGTGGAGGAGGAGGAGGAGGAGGAGGGGGAGGAGGAGGGGGGGAGGAGGAGGAGGAGGAGGAGGGAGGAGGAGGAGGAGGAGGGGAGGAGGAGGGAGGGGGAGGATGGAGGAGGAGGAGGAGGAGAGGAGGAGGAGGCGGAAGGAGGAGGTAGGAGGAGAGGAGGAGGGGGAGGAGGAGGAGGGAGGAGGGAAGGAGGGAGGCAGGAGGAGGATGAGGAGGAGGTGGTGGGAGGAGGGAGGAGGAGGAAGGAGGAGGAGGAGGAGGAGGAGGAGGAGGAGGAGGAGGAGGAGGAGGAGGAGGGGGGGGAGGAGGAGGGAGGAGGAGAGGAGGAGGGAGGGAGGAGGAGGAGGGGAGGAGGAGGAGGAGGAGGAGGAGGAGGAGGGGGAGGAGGAGGAGGAGGAGGGGGAGGAGGTGGAGGAGGAGGAGGAGGACGGAGGAGGAGGAGGAGGAGGAGGAGGAGGAGGGAGGAGGAGGGGGAGGGGGGAGGAGGTGGAGGAGGGAGGAGGAGGGAGGAGGAAAGGAGTAGGAGGAGGAGGAGGAGGAGGAGGAGGAGGCCCGAGCTCGCTCGCCACAACGGCTCCCGCGGACGCCCCCGGGGGGCGCCCCGCCGCACCCCGCCCGTCTCTCGAGCCGCGCCCGGCCGAGGCGGCGAGGGGCACCCCTGCAGGCCAAGGAGGGAGCATCCTCTCTCGTAGGGTCCAGACCAGGTCCTTCTCCCCCTCCTCCTCCTCCTCCTCCTCCTTCTCCTCCTCCTCCTTCACCCCTCCGTGCCATCCTCCTCCCTCTCCTCTCCCTCCTCCCCCTCCTCGACGTCATAGGGGGGGGGAGACGACAGAAGCGAGAGGGGGGATGGCGACAGGAAGGGAGGGGAAGATGACGAGAGGAGGGGGGAAGGTGGATGAGGCGAACAAGGGAGGGCACGGGGAGGATGACGAGATGAGGGGGGGGTAATTAGGATGACGAGATGAGGGGAGCGGAGGGAGGGCAGGAACGAGGAAAGGCGGCCATGCAAGAGCGGCCTTCGCTTGAAAAGCCAATCCACGCTCCGGGTCAGAACGGCGCTCGTGTCCAGCCAGATGAGCTTGTCGAACTCGCGCGCGCGCGCCCGGCGGTCTGGATAACCTCCTGAACATCCGCCTTTCCTCCTTCTCCATTGTCCTTCCATCCTCTTCCTCCCTCCTCCCCAGTCCTCCGCCTCCTTCTCCTCCTCCTCCTCCTCCTCCTCCTCCCCCGCCTCCTCTCTCATGCTCCCTCCTGCTCCCCACACATGCAAGGGAAAGGAGCTCTCGAGGGCTGGCGGCCCCCTCGCCCTCTTGGCTGGGGCAGGGGCAGGCATGGGCGATCCGGAGCCCCTGGATGTATGCTCTGTGGGTCAAATATTCAGAGTAACCCAAAAGGGGTTCCAGCGACAAGGGGGTGGTGCAATAGATCTGATGCATTTGGGACGTGCAAGACATTTCGGGGCGCAAATGTATTGCTGTACTTTCGCGCGCAATACATTACCTGCAACTGCAATCTAATGCAATACAAGTCTCTGGCGCAATACGTTTGCAATACAATTGCCCCAAATCTATTGCACCACCCCCTTTCAGCTGGACCCCCTCTTGGCCCACCCAGAATGGGGGTCCTGAGGGGTGGGGTGAGCCAAAGATGGATTTACACCGTTTCGGGCGCCTCGTCCTCGGGACCCCATCCCTCCAGGACTCCATCTCTGCACCGCCGACACCTCGTGCTCCCCCCCTTGCTGTCGGCCCCTGCTGCAACCGCCGCCCCTCCTCTCCGGGTTCGCCCCGCGGGACGCCGGCCTGGTCACCGGGCCGGGCCGAGCCCAACCGCCGCGGCGGGTCCCCGCCTTCCTCTGGCGGCCAAGGAGGCGACCAAGACGGGGCAGGGCGGGCGGCAGAGGAAGAGCTGTCGTTCTCCACGCCGACAGCCACGCAACTCAAAGCAGCGAGCGTGCGGCCTGTCTGGGAGCAGGGCCCAGCTGAGGACGAGGAGGGGGGCCGTGATGAGGATGAGGGATGGGGCAGCAACCATGAAGTGGGGCGCGGCAGCAGCAACAACTCATGCGTGTGTGTGTGTGTGTGTGTGTGTGTGTGTTGCATGTTTCCCCGAGGAGCGGAAGCGACTCATGGCGGGGCGCTGCCGCGCGGGAGCCGGGGGGGGGCACCTGAGTCAGGCGCCAGATCGGTAAGACGGCTCAGAGGGCTCGGGAACGGGAGTGGGGGGGGGGGGGGAGCGGCGGCATTCGAATAGACCGAGGGAGAGAAAAAGCAGTCAAGGGAGAAAGAAGCAAGAAGAACATACGCCTCCACGGCACGCAATAACGGAGGAAAGACGAACGAAGACCATAAAGGAAGAAAGAAGAAAGACGAAGAACAGAAGAAGATGAAGCCTCTGCCGACCCGGAATAAATACGCCCGACTCCTCCCACCCTCCTCCCACCCCCCCCCCTTCTTCCCCCCTCCTCCTCCTCCTCCTCCTCCTCCTCCTCCTCCTCCCTCCTCCTCCCTGGGCACAGACCGACACGGACTAGGGGGAGGGTGCCCCCCCGAGGCGCGAGGTCGGGGCCGCCTGCTCGGGCGGCAGTGGCGCGCTGCCCACGCGCACATGGAAGTGGCGGCCGCCGCGGGATACCCCGCGCGCCCGAAGCCACCATGGCTGCGTCTCCTCGGGTCGGGCCAAAGGGGGGGATAGCAAAGGAGGGGTTTGAGAATCAGCTCACGTAGCTGATTTTCCTGGCGCCTCCCGGCGCCGGAGGCGACTGTGTATCGAGGACTGGGCCCCTCGGTGGGGCCGAAACCAGCTGCATGCAGCAAATCTCGTAACACCCCCTTTCCCAATCCCCCCCTTTCGTCCGGCCCGAATCTCCTCGGCCATCCTCCGCCGCTGCTGTCTCCGCCCTTTTCCCCCCTCGCCTTCGACCTTAGACAGCCCTGGGAACGACAAGGCCGTTTTGTGACCGATTCCGTTTTGCCGTTTTTTTGCCGGTTGCGACGCCGCTTTTGTACCGGTTCCGTAGCCGTTTTTTGACCGGTTCCGGCTCCGGTTCAAATCCTAGAGCAATTTTTTCCCCACATGCTTTGTGGGGTTCTGGTTTTCTTCTCTGCCTTGTCGCACCCGCGTCTCCCGCACCTCCCTCCTCCCCTTCTCACACAGCGCAGCACAGCACAGCACAGCACAGCTCAGCTCAGCTCAGCACAGCACAGCACGGCTGACCAGCTCCTCTCCCAGACGCTGTGAATGTCGAGGCGGAGGCGTCCACTGCCGCGCGCGGCTGGACCTCGACAGCCAGGCGTCTCGCCGTGGCTGTCCCTCCCATCGGGAGGCCGACTTCGTCAGTGCATGGAATTCGGCCTCGCCAGATCTCGTGGCGATCGCGTGCTGTGCGGTGCAGCGGCGGCAGATGGCTGCCATGCGTCATGCGCGAAGAACTCGCGATCCGCCGAATCCGCGCGCAACCCGCCCACCCGAGTCCGAGAACACAGCCAAGTTTCTTTCAGCGGGCGAAAAACGTTACAAAATACACTTTTTCGCTGTCGGGGGCGCCTGTCCCTGGGCGGCTGGAAAGTTTATACCCCTACGGTGCCACCGTAAGGGTATAAACTTTCCAGCCGCCCAGGGACAGGCGCCCCCGACAGCGAAACAATCTATTTTATACCCTTCTTCGCCCGTTAATTCTTGGGAGGTCCTGCCGCCGGAGCTCCTTCGCCGCGCGCGGGGCGCCCAGAAGGTGCCGGACAAGCCTCTTCGGGTCTCGCTCGTCCTTCAGGGAGGATGCGACCTGTCTCTCCGACTGCTTCTTTCAGAACCGGGGTGGCAACTCCACGCTCCACCAACGTCTCCTCGATCCTTTCCTCCACCGTCCGCTCCTCAATCTCGCTTTGGGCCCACTCCTTAAGCATATCCTGCGACTACTTCCCGAGGTCCTCATCTCTCTCTCTCTCTCTCTCTCTCTCTCTGGCGCGGCTGCTGCGTCCTGCGTGCACGAGCGCTGGCCCGCCCTCAGCGTCTGCAGGTGCCTTCGCGCCCGGCGCGGCCACGGGCTTGCTCTCGGCAGCATTCGACGACCCGGCCTGCCAGATTAGAACCTATTACAGTCGGGGCGTTGACCTAAGGAACCCTAAAGAAGGAACGGGGCCCCTTTCTCCCATAAGTTGAACTTCGATCTCCCATGGAAAACCTCAGGAAAACAGAAGGCAAACTGTAGAACAACCAAGGAACAACGAGCCCCTCCCCAACGAAAAGGGTTCCTTCTGCAGGGCCCCGGCTGTATACGTGGCGCGGGTCGGCCTCCAGCTCGATCCCTTCGCCGCGGGCGTCTCCTGGCACGTGCCGCCGCGAGTGCGGCTCCGGCGGGCGACCTCGCTCGTATCGCCCACCTCCTCGTTGGGGCCTGGCGCCCCCCTGTGCTTCGCGAGCAGGTGGCGTCCGAGCTCCTCTTTGCACGCGTCGGTCGGGGACCTTTGGCCGCTGGCTCCCAAATCGTCGCCATGCCTCGTGATGCGGACCGCCTTCGCAACTGCTCCCGAAGTGGGCGCCGCTCTGGCTTGGCAGGCTACGCACGGGCTGGAACGGCCCAACCTGTAGCACATCTGCTCTAAGACATGATCCACCTCTCTGTCAAAAAATGCACCCGCGTGGCGCGGGCCGTACATGGCCTTCTTGAGCCCGTGCGCTTTCCCATCCAACATGATGACCACTGTCCGCTGCACCGGCGAGTGAAAACGCGCACGCGAAACGTCAAGAAAACAAAACCCCCCTCATCTGCTGGGTTCCCCGGCCTCGGGCCAGGCATCAGGGGGGGCAACTGCAGCTCGAAGGCCTCCCGCGGCGGCGTAGCTGCTGACTACCTACCAGACCACCCCAACCCAACCCGAAGACCCGAATTTCGGGTTGGGGGGGGGTACGGGCTCCATACGTGTTTTGGTGTTTCTCGTGCTCTCCGGACCCCGCCCCCCCATCTGGAAGATGGAGTGGCAAATTGAGGCCTTAGGGTGGGTTGGGGTTGGTTTTGGTTGGTGGTGAGCTGCGAACACGGCGCTTCCGTCCTCGACGCCGCTGTTCGAACGCCGTGGCGTCTCCGACCACCGACCAGGCCAATGCGGGAATGGCACGCTCACTGGGCGTCCTTGGTCGATGGTGACGCCTTTGCCCAACGCGGCGCGAGGAGGGGGGAGGCTAGGAGGAGGAGGCGAGGAAGAGGCGAGGAGGAGGAGGACGAGGACGAGGACGAGGAGGAGGACGAGGACGAGGACGACGACGAAGAGAGGACGAGGAGGAGGAGGACGAGGACGAGGAGGGTCGGCGCCGTCGGCCGACCCGTTTCGGCCAAGCACGCGTCGTAGTCGGACTCCCCCATGGCGCCTATCTCGCCCGTGTACCCCTCGCGCGCCTGCGTGGCCATCGCAAGCTGCAGGATTCTCCAGATTTAGTAAAATCTCCTCGGGGGGGTCTCATTTCGGGGGGGGCCTCTTCGAGGCTATCTTGGAGGGCCTGGGGGGTCACGGGGGAGGTCTGAAATGGCTTGTTTTGGAGGGTCCAGACCCCCTCCCTTTTATTACGAAATCTGGAGTACCCCTCGCGCGCCTGCGTGGCCATCGCAAGCTGCAGGATACGGTGGAAGTCCGCGCGCCAGTCGCGGAAGACTTGCGCCCCCTCGCCACGGGGCGCGCTCTCCAGCAAGCTCGGCTCCTCCAATGCCCGGCCCACATCGACTGCCCCACCGGTGAGCTCGTGGGGGTTGCCATCGAGCCCTTCCGCTGCTCCTTCCGCTGCTCCTCCTCCTCCGCTCTTCCAGGGTCGGCGGTACCGGCCGTGCGGCCTCTCCAACACTGTCCGCCCCAATTGTTTCGGAGCCTCGGATCTCTGGGAAATAACGTGCACCTGTCGTGAACACCTTTTGGGCCCGCATTGGCAGTGTAGGGCCAGCCTCGCCGAAGGCAGGAAGCGCCAGGGTAACGGGGGGGGAGGGCTCCCA